AAAAAAAAGTACGATTGCATTTTGTTGAAGAGCTGTAACGCGTGGTTCATAATGTTTTTTGCTTGCTATTTGTTATAAAGTTATGGAAACCATTTTTATCCCAAGGACTGCATTTTGTTCATAAACTTGCGTGCGTCTAGACGTGTTACCATAGGTAATTTTGGCCAACGCCAGAGGCTTAATTAAGTGTGATGAGGGGGATATTTAGGTACGCGTATGTGTGCTGGGTTATGGCAAATTGGAGCTGCAGTAGGATTAAGTGAGGTTATGGCAGGAGAGGGGACATAAGGTGAGTGAGAAAAACGAGTTTAACGGAAAACGCTTTTTTGCAACCTAGGTAGTTGTGTTTTAAGGGGTATATCTAGGACGACCAATATGATTGGTGGATAAAATTTAACGAGTGTAGTTTTCTGATGGATTTGTTGTAAGAAAGTATTTATAAAAATAAATACTAATTTGTCAAAAGCAGTTACTTGGGTTCTAATATGCTAATTCATACAATTTTATTTTTCTTCATGACTGTTTGTTTTTTAGCCAACTGTGTAGGCCAGCTGACGAATTCACAACTTTTTATGGGGAGTCCGTGTATGGCTGTTGCAGCTGGGTCAAACAGCGCGTTCTCAAGTGAGCATTAAAAGTGACTAAGTAGGAATTTCATTTTCTCATGATGAAGTCTGTCTTGAGTTTTAAATGGCCTTTTCAGGTCCGTCGCCGACATTTCCCTATAACTTCTGTTCCACACAGCAGCCATCATTCTTTCAAGGTCGTTTTGTCTCTTTTTGCTCTTTGTTTGCATTTTAAGTTATTTAACTCAAAAGCGTATTTCCAGGGGAACAAGGATTACCGTCAACGTCCGGTGTGGTTTACAACGTCGGAACACTAAGTGACAGCAATAATAATAACAATTACGAGAGCGTTTTTTGAGAATCTAGACTTCAAATTAAATTGAATTTGGTTTAAGTTTTTTTTGGTTGTTGTTTGTATGATGTTTACTGGTTGTAAACAATCCATTTGACATTTTTGAAATGCCAAGGGATTTTTGTAAATTAATCATTTTTAGTCTATAATTAGTGTTGTATAAAATGTTTCTTTTTTTTTTTTTCCAAGGACAAAGTTTTTCAACGGCCGTTTATTTGTTGTACATTTTTGAGGCTTTGTGGCTTTCGTTTGGTATAAGGCTTTACCTGCTTAGCTTGATAGACCTTGATTATCTCATCCTTCTTTTTACTGTTCAGGTGTTGATAATTTGTATGTACGCCTTATTGTTTTTTCACTGTTTGGTAGTTTGGAAAGTAGAGCGATGTTAGTTCTTTTGTAAGGCGAGCTAGCAGCAATTTACCATCTTTTGGCACAATGTTTGCCTACAGTACTGCTAATACAAAAAATTCCTGTTGTTATTCGAACGAAGAATACTAATTTTCAAGTTTGTTGTTTGGAGTGGTATACTAAACGCTTTCATTCAAGATTTGTTTGGTATGTCTCTATGATTTGTATATTGATATACGTGGTTGACTGATATATACGTGGTACCTGGCCGTATTTTTAAAAAATGGTCGCTTTGTGAGATTAATTTTTGTGGTTACCTGGCTGTATCTATTGCTCGTTTCACCTGGTGTGCTTTGAAGGCTAGTCGTGTGATTATTCACTGCGGTTGTTTAAGGTATAGTTTTTTATTTTCATTGTGGGCAACTTACAGCGTTTTATAAAGGTAATCCGTGTAGCACGTTTTAAAGTTGGTTTGAGAGTTAAGCTCCGTTTTCAATCTTTGTACTTTTCGGGTAAAAGGCCTGGGTTTTAGGACGC